GGAAATAATGTCAGTGAAAATAAAGATGTTCTAACCTAAACGCACACAACAAGATTTTCCAACTTTTCTTTACATATTTGCAGTGAAGAAGATCTATATTTTCTTTTCCAATGAACAAATACTTTGTTCTAATCTTAAATAAAGTCCAGGTGTGGGCATGTTTTTGTTCAGTTCCTAACTAGTTAATTAATGGTCTGATAACAAAGATTTTTAAATGTTAGAAATGCTATGAAGATGGACAACTCATAATAATTCACCTATTCATAGGTATTATTTTTCACTAAGGAAACTCTAATCTCATGGTTATTGTTTTTATATTCCTTTTAAATATGAGGAGAGGAAGCACACAAATGGACAAGTTAGAGCATGCCAAGGAGTTAAATATTAAAACCCGTGATCAAATCTTAATTATATGTTTGCATGAGAGGGATAAACGAAGCAGAGAAATTTCACAGAGAAGATGAATTAGAGCTAATCTTTGAAGGATGATTATGAAGGAGCTGGTCAAAAATGAAGTAAAAGCAGGAAATAGTCAAGAGAGGGAGAATATTATGCCTATTAGCTTTTCAGTAAGGTATAAAGGGGCATGGATCAGAGTGGCAAAGATGAAGGAAAAGGCTAGACGAGTAGAATAAATAAATAATGCGATGGATCATACATGCAGTCTTTGTTGAATTTGCTTTTTCTTACTTTTAAAGTTGATTGGAGCCAAAAATACAGCACTAATGGGGAATTCAAATTAGAAAGGGAATTTGAAAGGCAGATAATATTCAAAGTTTAATGTGCTATCTCATAAGAAATAAATGTGGTCTAAACTGCAGCTGGCTCTGGAAATGGAGAAAAATAGCAGTGCAATAACAGAACAATACCGAGTAAGATATAAAAATGCCAGCACTGGGATGATAGAAAGAGTCAAAGATAGAACTTGAACTCAAGTGTGCAGAACTGAATTAAGCTCTTGATATTATTCCATATCTTTTTTAATTGATTCATCAAAATTTGAAAATAAGCATTATTATGTTATCATCTCCCATCTTGGCAATGGGGGGAGAGACTCAGGAAAGTAAGCTTATCTGAAGGCAAGGGGCATCACAATCCCCAATTTCAAATTATACTACAAAGCTACCATGATAAAACAGCATAGTACTGGCAAAAAAACAATCTTAACCACCAGTAGAACAGAATAGAAGATGCAGAAACAACTCCAACCACACTCAGCTACTTTAACTTTGACAAAGGGGCCAAACACTTTCATTGAAAGAAAGATAGCCTCTTTAGTAAATGGTGCTGGGAAAAATGGCTTTCAACTTACTGAAAATTGTACCTAGACCCTTATTTCTCACCAAGCACTAAACTAAAATGGAAATGGATCAAAGACCCGATATATAAAACCGGAAACACTTAATCTGATGGAAGATATAATAGGCAAAGCTCTAGAAGTTATATTTGTAGGCAAAGACTTTATGAACAAAAACACAATCTTACAAAAAATTACAAAATTTAACAACTGAGATTACATCAAATTAAAAAGCTTTTGAACAGCAAAAGAAACTGCCAACAGGGTAACGAAACAACACACAGAATTGGAAAATTTTTAACAGCTACACTTCAGATAAAGGACTAACATGTAGAATATATAAAGAACTCAAAAAAGTCAGACCTTCCAAATTTAAAAACCCCATCCAAAATTGGGCATTTGAAGTGAATAGACATTTCTGACATGAAGAAGGACAAACAGCAAATAAATATGTGAAAAAAGTGTTCGACATCACTTGTCATTTAAGAAATGCAAGTTAAAACAACACTGAAATTCCATCTCACTCCAGAAAGAATGGCTGTCAGCAAGAAATCAACCAATAACAAATGCTGGCAAAAAAGAAACCATTCTCCCCTGCTGGTAGGAATGTAAACTGGTACAACCACAATGGAAATCAGTATGGAGATTCCTCAGTGATAGCAGCACAATTTATAATAATTGAATCTTGGAAGCACCCCAAATGCCCATCAACAGATAAATGGATAAAAAATGGGGGTATTTATATACAATGGAGTACTGCCATAAAGAAAGATAAACTTGAATCATGTGTAGGAAAATGGATGCACCTCAAGACCATTATCTTAAGTGAAATAAATTGGAAACACATATTTAAATATCACATTATTTCTCTTCCAGGAGAAACCCAAAGAGTAAATGAGGAGCATGATGGAGGATAGATATTAGGAAGTGGGAAGAATGTATTCAAATGTGAAGGGGATAAAGGGAGAGGGAGGGGTAAGGAAAGGAAAGAAAAGGGAAAAATGAGAATGGAGGGAAAAAGATGGAAACAAATCTTTGTAATGGGGAAGGGAGGAATAATTGAAGGGTGAGGAGAGGAATGAAAAAAAAAGAATTAATATATATCATGTGCAGGTACAAATTCCCTATGATGTATGTAATCAATAAGTATGACAAATATGTACTAATAAAAATAAAGCAAAAAATCTTGTCTGAGATTACCAAGTTCATAATTGGTAGAACTGAGATACAAACCCAGAAATATATGTTACTCTCTTGAAAATCTGTCCAAGCCCCTGCATAGTCATCTGTAATAATGGCTGGTCATAGAACATACCTCCAAGCAACATTTCTAAAATTAAAAGAGATTATGTTTGTAAAGTACTTAGTTCAGTGTCTGGCCAAATGTTTACTATGAATCTTATACCACTACCACATCGTATTACAGTACTAAGATTGCACAAGAGAGGTGTGTGTGAGAGTAGAAAGTGGTATGAGAACAGCAGGAAAGAAACTGTCTTTTTCCTGAGGAGTAACCAACCATGTTAGCTGCAAGGAGGAAGCACAAACAGGTGAGAGAAAGATCCTGAAGATTCGGAATGACCTTTAACTGGAACAAGAGAACAGCTTTTGGAATTCAACACTATTAGCCACATGTTAGAAGTAGTATTCCTCAATAACCACCTTTCCTCAAGAAAATTAAATAAAGAAATACTGTACCTGCTATGAGGCTACTTTTGAGCAATACAGTGACACTGTAGGATATTTAAATTATATCACTTTCATGTGAAGAAAAAAGAGTTGTTGAAATATGTTTTTAAATTGAAATGGTTCCACCATTCAACTAAAAATTTCCAAGAACTACTCTCCTTGTCAGAGAACTTTTCTTTCATCCTTACATTCTCTCAGTAAATATTTATTATTTGCTCTCAAAACGAAATATGTTGCATTAGGCTGTTAGGCTGTACATCAACCAGACTTCAAAATGATTTGCAAAATGTCAGTGAAATAAAGAAAATAAATGCTTAGACTGAAAGCTCATGGTCAGAGTAACACACTCAATCTGAGGCTACAATTTCTAGAAAGAATTGAAATCAACCAAACATCTGGTAAACACTAGTAGTTGAAACCCATTAGTTGAATTTACTGGTAACCTATAGCTATATTAGGTAATTGTTGCATTCTGTTCCTTTTTATGAGTAATATTCTCCCTCAGTTATGACTATAGAGTTGTCAGTTTTCTTTAAAAGTAAAAATTGAAATTAGAAAACCCCTGACAAATAGATGAACTCATCTTCAGAAGGACTTTCTATTTAGTTTGCTATCACTAGGTCAACTTACATATTATGTTTAAAATTAGTTGACTTCTAAAGTTAGTTACTAAAAATTAGTTATTTAAAATTCATTACTAAAAGATTCCATAGATTTTAGGAAAATCTTATTGGTTTGATAATTATAAATAAAATTAATCTTAGGATATTACATGTGAAGTCACTTGTGGTGGCACAAGCTTGTAATACTAGCACTTGGGAGGCTGAGGCAGGGAGATTGCCATGTGTTCGAGGCCAGGCTGGGCTATATAGTGCTTTCAAAGTCAGCCCGGATTACATAGCAAAACTGTCTCAAAAACAAAAAAAAAGATAATATATGTGATATGGTAACCTTATCATTTTAAATGAAACCTTTTAATAGTCTGTAAATCAGCAATAAAATTAAACTAAACATTGACTGTTCAAGATGGACTTCATAATAAAAATATCTTTAATTAGATTTTTAAGTCAGGTATAATTTTTTACAAAGTTATCTTTCTAGAAAGAATTAGTTTTTAATATCAAATGTCTTAATTTCTCATCTTATTTTTATTTATTCTTATGTTGGTGCAGTTTATTGTTACTTGGAAATAGTTTAATCTCTTTCAGAGGATTAATGAAATGTTTGCTTTTAGAGTATTGTACAGCAGGTGTATTTTACAACATTTAACCACTTCCTTTTGAAATTTAATGCTCTACTTGCAAACTTTAAAAACATTGAAACAGGAAATTATGAATTAAAAATAAAATGTTGTGGTTTCTAAACTCTTGTATATTATCCCCACAAAAGAAATTTCGATCAGTTTTAAGTTAAAATTAAACAATATAATGTGTACCTAGAGCTTCAGATTTTTATTAAAATAGTGGATTTTAGTCAATATTTTACTGTAAAATAATTCTGGAAAAGGACTTTTTAGAATTTCCGCCCCATATATCTGTCCCTTTAGAGGTTTCTTATGGGCGTTGATGATAATTGATTTTTTTCTTTTCATAAACAAACTGTGATCATGTAAACAGTTTATTGGCTTCTCCTCTGTGCTTCCAGGTCCCAGAAACCACTTTCAGGATTAAGGTTTTATGGAATGAACGATTTCTACATAGGCAACTGAATATTTACTAGATACCAGTATAAATTCAGAGCGCTCAGAAACAGCTTAAAGGTCAGGTTACATTTACTTGAATAATTATTACAAAAAGATCATTTCCTCATTCAATATTTTCTGAAATTATTTAAATATTAAAAGCTACTTAGAAAGAAAGCTGCTTATCCAACTCGTGAAATGCAGCGTTCGTTCCAATTTAGAATCAAACTTATTTGTCCTTCTGGGGCACCTGTTAAGGCAAAGCTGCTTTAGCTTCTATGGGATTGGTTGTCGTCGTGGTTACGAATTGTTTACAGACTCTGAGCGCAGTTTTACAAGCCAGCGAGGAGATTTCGCTGCCGGTGCGAGAGCAGGAGGATTCAAAGCCGGGATTCGTGTTGGGGGAGTAGAGGTAGAGTTCTGGGAGCGCCGGTGGAGCCAGACCATTCTCCGCTGTAGCCAAGCTTCCCAAAAAGGACAGACGCGGCCCCCGGGGTGGCTGCGTTAGTCTGCCAAGCTCCAGGGTCCCTTCAACTTCCGACGTTTGCGTAGCTCCGTTAAAACTTGAGGATCTACCTCATACTCTAGGGGACCTTACTTGGTTACTCCCTTCTCCCCCCAACCCACACCTCCAAACACACCAACCAGTAATTATTTTCCTTTCTTCTCTCCCCTTTCCTTCCTTTCTTTTTTCATATGTATTATTTATTTTCATGCTTGTTTATCACGTTGATTTCGCTCCGTTTACAGGCATTGAAGACTAGAGTTCTTTAAGCTTTCTCTCTTTTGGCAGCATCGGCTCACCCCATGTGATTCATTATCAACTTGATGTAGTTTCCTCCAGCGCGTTTATAATGGGTTCCATCTAAGTCAGCACTGTTCTTCTTACAAGGAAACCTCTAGGTATCAGTGATTGTTGCAGGCTCAAAATACAGCTACTTGAAACTGAGAGGGGCTGTAGGTGTAACACACACACTATATTTCAAGAGTTCGTATGCAAAACAAGAATGAAAATTTTACATTAATCTTAGTAATTTTTTAAGGCTTGAAGATGTAGCTCAGTAGTAGAGCACTTGCCTAATAAGCGCTGGGCCCTGCGTTTGATATCCAGCACTGCCAAACAAAAATAATAATTTCATACTAATTTATGTTGAAATAACATTTTGATTACATTAGGTTAAATAATATATATTAAAATTAATTTGATCTGTTTTTCATTGTGAAAATTTGCTACTAGAAAATTTAAACTTGCATTTGTGTTTAAATATAGAAATATTGGGTGGGATTTGTCCAAGAGCCAGTAAGTAACAAAGGGGAGAATACAAAGGAAAAGATTGTTACCTTCACTCTATCTCCTACCTCTCTTTCAATACAAAGTGTTATATACATGTACCCTCTGCTTTATAGTTTAAAAACCTAACTTTCCATCTAAAAAACCTTTTGAATTGCATTTTTAATTTATCGATAGGGGTCATTCTATTTGCTGTTATGTTTTGCTTTCCTTTGAAAGGAGGAGGGTGTGGATAAAAGTGAATATTTTTAAATGAGCTTTTAAAATTATAAAAACAGTATATATTCACATTTAAAATAGTCATTCAAAATGAAGATAAGAATTGAAAATTGAATATTCCCCAATCTCTTATAGAAAGCTTTTATCTCTGAAAACCGTGTGTGTGTGTGTGTGTGTGTGTGTGTGTGTGTGTGTGTAGTTACCTCAATGAGATTTTATCATGAATACTTTTCTATCACTTGCTTTTTCAATTAATCTTTCTTGGACTCCTTATTCCAAAGTACATTGAGTGTATCCATTCTTTACAGATATTGTATAGATGCATGATAATTTATGGAACACTTCTAGTGGAAACTTAGGATCATTTTAAATTTAGGATAAAATTTTAATTTTATTTATTTATTTATTTATTTATTTATTTATTGGTACCAGGGA